GATACCGCAGCTAACGAAGAAGCTATGCGAAGGAGCCTCGACCTCGTAGATAAGCTACGAGAGATTGCATACATCCGACAACAGATGTACAAAGCACGAATGGCCAAGGCCTATAACTCAAAGGTCCGCCCTCGATCCTTCCAAGTTGGATATTTAGTCCTCCGAAAAGCTGAATCCTCGAGCCCCATTGGTAAGCTCGACCCAAAGTGGGAAGGACCATATAAAATCACAAAAGTGGTCAACACTGGAGCATATCGTCTCGAGAACCTTGACGGACACCCTATACCCAGAACCTGGAATATAGGGAACCTCAGAAGGTTCTACGCTTGAGGTATACATCCACGTTACTTCAGATCCGTTGAAGTTACCACCCATATCCTTCTTATACAAAAATTGCTTACAAACCACTACCCCTGCAGGTTTCGCGACCTTCCACGTCACTCGTCTTGCAAAACTATCTCTACATGCAAGGGAAGTCTCTACTACATAACGAGGTGCGTAAACGTCCCACCTAAACTGGGGGGGCTAGTAATTTTACTTACATCAGCAATCCATAATCACATCTCATCATCTTCTTACTGATTGAGAACCAATTACGAGGGGATGCATATTACTCATCAATGGCCCAAAGAGCGAAGACACTCCATACCACATCGCCAAGGATAACAATACTTCCAGTAAAATATATCACACGCATGCTCTTGTATATTCATACTAACGTGATAAAATCATTCCATTTAACAGGCATGATCACGCAGCAAATCACTGCAACTCACGAGTTGATTTCATATCTCGGAGTGCGAGGAAGAAAAACAATCCTCGTAGTAGGGTACGTGAAATTGTAGTGCACATCACCCCAGCTTCAATTACTAAGTCTTCAGTACAAGTGTTTAAACAATTTTTTTCTCAACTATACTTTTCAGGCATAGAGACGCCAAAGGAATTCAATCTACCATCAGCACAGCGAAACGAACGAGTACAAGGAAGACGTGGAAGAAGAACAAGTTTAGTATAATCACTTAGAAGAATTTTTATTAAGTCAACTTATTTGCTTTTGCAATAGTTATTTCCCTTCGCCTCACGTAGGCTTATCACATTCGCAATTTATTTCCCTTCGCCTCACATAGGCTTGTAACAATTCTCCTTTGTTATCATTGAATAAATCAATTTATTTGCTTTACTCTCTGTGCCATTACATCTATACTAATTACCCATTACAATGAGTTCAATACAGTACAACCCTATAAACACTATGCGAAATTTAGATAATCCATATAGCCTGACCAGCTGGATTGTCTAAGTCTCTTTATTTGTTTCACGAGGTGATACTTTTAAAACGTGGCCACAGAAAAAATATATTTAAGACCCAAGCGGTCCGAACAAAGGGCACGACCCTTAACAAAAACCTTGGGAGACTGATCCCCTCCTCAAGTACATTGCGTACAATGCTAAATGTAAATACACATAAGCAACGCATAAAACTCTTGACAATGTCAAGATAAATAAAACGAGATATCAAACTTCAAATGTCAAACAAGGAATAAAATTCAAACGAAATAGTAGTGGACATACCCATCTACATCAGCGATAAAAATAAACTAAGAGTTCTATAAAAAATAATAAATAAAAAAGAGTTTAACTATCCTAGCAAACTAGCATATAAATCTAAACCCCCTTCCATGGGCGGAAGACGCCCCTACAGTGGGGTCATCAGCAACCATGTCATCCACGAGCTATGTGCCCGTCTCGTTGACATCTACCTCATCCTCCTCTTCATAGGGTATACCGGCTTCCATCTCACGAATGACCCTCTCACTAATACCACCCGCCTCGCGAAGGTATTTGCGACACGCATGAACTAATGGCTTATAGACCGCAGCCAAAGCATGTTCCTCAATCATAGCAACACACTCAGCACTACCTCGAAAGCTAAGCTTGGTTTCCTCCACGATGACTCCTTATAAACAGCACCACCCGACGTCGCGAGGACATTTTTTCCGTCGCCTTCTAAACTTCGTATTTCTCTTGTACAGGTTAAGTAGATCCAGCAGGCAGCATCACTGCCGTCTCGCGCAACCTTGATACTCCTTTTTTTTTTTTTTTTTTTTTTGGGGGGGGG